TTTCCCTTGCTGGAAGGATGACTTTATTACCTCCTGCCTGTGCAGTGAGGATCACAGAGGGGTAGGTGCTGTGGAGCTGGTAGGGCAGCTAATGTGGTGTGCTCCTGAGCTGTTGGCTTCTCCTAGAGGATACAGTTCTTGTGCTTTTGCATTGTTCCCAAGCTTGTTCTCTTCCATCTCCACCCAGGTGTCCCCAGTGCGGGCCAGGATCGCAGCACCTACGAGCCCATTGATCAGCCAGAAGCGCCTCCCCAGTGGCCTCCCCCAGGCAAGGCAGCCCAGCCGCCCTACTGAGGCACCTGGAGCCCTGCACGGACACTGCCCTCGCCCAGCCAAGGCTTCTGCTCTGCCCCTCTCTATTCTCATGGAGCCACACCTGCTGCTGAGCAAACGGGACAGGATCTGAGACTTCTTCTGCCTCCCTGAAGATTGGGCAGATGGGTTCCTGCAGTAAGTCCAGAAGATCCTGGAGGTGTCATGTCAAGCACTGTGACTCGTAATCCCAGTACTTTCCTCCTCAGTCCCTCCTCAGTGTGTGTGACTGGATGCACCTTCTGCAGTCCTCCATTCTGCATCCTCTTTGTTGTAAGGGAACCACTGAAAGTACCCCTGGACAGACTGTCTTTAAAAGCCTTATGGACTGCCCTTAAACAATGCAGTTAGCCTGCTTTTATGCAGATATATTCCCAGGAAACATCTGGGAGTTCTCAAGAGCTGTTTTTGATGGTGTTATTTAAGTAAGATTTATGACCTCCTAAGATTTATAACTCCCATTGTTAGCTGTGGTGGTTTGCACAAAGCTGGGCTTGGTATAAAATGCTCTTAACTGGGCCAGGGAGCTGTTTGTGCTCCCAGTATCTGGTCTTGGGTTTTATTGACTGATGCTCTTATGCAAGTTGAATGTCCTTCAGGATACTTAAAATGACTGTTGAATGTAGGTTATAGATACTTTGTGCCTTGAAATGTCCTTTTGCCTTCAGCTGCCTGTCTTAACAGAACTTGAAATGTTACATTTTTTCTAAGAAAACTATAAAATGAACACAGTTTTCCTGTGTTAGAAAAAGTTAAACTGGTCATTTATGTCTCATTTGAAAATGTAGCTGTGCCTGAGGGTTTGGGACTGTAGCCAGGCAGTTTGGGAGAATCATTATGGGGAAAGGTCTACAGGGCTCTGGTAGCTTTTAGTCTAAGCTTTACTACAGCAAGTAGAAGGTACTGCTTGTAAATACGTGGGTGGGAAGGTGGGCTAGTAAAGTGGGGATTGGAGAAGGAACAAAATGGATTTATTTACACTGAAGAGGTGAGCTCTGTGGAGTGCAATGAACCATAAACTCTAATGTTATGCACAGTAAATCTGCCCTGCTGTAGCTTTCAGGTAAAATTCTAAAACAAACAAAGCCCCAGAAACAAATAAACCAGTTTCAACAGGATTCTTTTACAGAAGAAAAAGAGTATATCAGCTTTGGCAGAATTCTAGTTTTAGGAAGATCTGTGTTTTTCTGAAGCAGGTTCATTTTCAAAGTTTACATCTGTTATTCTGTAATTGCATTTCTCGTGACAAGACCTGCTGCTGTGTTGATTCTTCAGTGACCAAGAGCCCTGTTAACTTTGCTCTAACCTGTAGAACTATGCCATTTGTATTTTTAAAACCAAGCAGTTTTCTCCCAACTTTGATCACTTTAAACATAAGCAGGTGCTTCCTCTACTCTGCTGCACGAGCACTGCAGTGTATCTGGACCTTCGTTATTGATACTTGGACCAAGCACATGGTAAATGCCATAAAAGTGTGATATTTTGAGTTTAGCCTCCCGGGGTGAGTGTTGTGCATTCATTTTTTTCAAGCTGCCGTGCCATAGGGCAGAGGAATAGGAATGTGTCTGTTCTTGTGATCAGATGGGGAAGAAAGAATAGGTAGGCAGAAATTTCTGGGGCTTGTGGAGTTGCACAGCCTTTATGTGTTTTTTTTTCAGCTCTTTAGAACTATATAGAGAGCAGCACAGATCCCTGAATAACACTTTTAAATGCTCAACCTTTTTCTTCCCTAGACCAGTGAACCACAAACAGAAAATCACTACTTTAAACGCAGTGTTTTTTGGGTATTTGCACAATCAGTTATATTTAGTTAGGCCTTCCCAGCCATTCTCTGCTGGAAATGTCCATCTACATGACCCGCTGTGTGCTCTTCTGTGGAGAATTTGGCACATCTGGGAGCTCAGGGGAGCAGAGCAAGGCAGGACTTGCAGTTTTGGGCAGTAAATTGGAGAGGTGGCGATAAAACAGGCACTTCTCCTGTCTTTGGAGGAGGAGGAGAGAGTTTGTACAGGGTGTGAGGGGCTTCATGGAGCTGCTGTGCCAGAGCATGGCCTGGCTGATCCCGGGGCTCTCAAGAGTTCCTCAGCGGAGTCTCCTCACCCAGACAGGTGCAACGCGCTCCATTCGGGTGGTTTTGCTTTGTTTCTTAAACTCTTCAGGTCCTGCTTTGCCCTGAGGCAGCTCCCCAGGGATCACCGGGTCGAGTTCTTCCCCCACTCCTTCAGCAGCAGTGGCAGGGTCGGGGTGAGGAGGAGGAGAAGATGGCGCGTGCCCTGAGGCGCTGCCCGGGACAGGTACGGCCTCACCCCGGGCTGAGCCGCCCTCACCCCGGCCGGGTCCCGGCTTTAATTAGCCGTGGGATAGAGCGGCTTTCCCGCGACCATCTGCAGCCCCGGTGACCGGCAGCAGCGTTGCTAATCGCCGGGATAAGCTTCTTAACCGAGCCCCAGCTGGAGCGGGCGCGGGGTCCGGGCGCTGAGGGGGACGAGGCGGGTTCGTCCCTGCGAAGGATGTGCTGACACGGAGGTGCCCGGCCGGCCCCCCCCAGGTCCTGGCAGGGCCCCGCAGTTGGCGACTCTCAGAGTGAGTAAATGCCCACGAGGAGCGTGGAGACATCGGGGGTGCTGAGGGGGATTTGGGGATGGGATTCCCGCTGCCGCCACCGCACCCCGGGACAGCGCTGGTGCTCGGGTGGAGGCGGCTCGTGAGGGGGCACCGCTTGTGTTTGTGCCCATTGGGAGAAATCTCGCAAGGGTTTGGTTTGCAGCGGGGAAAAGCCTCGTTTCCAAGGCACGTGAAGTGTGGTGTCGTTCTAAACACCTGTCCCAACTTGGAATGTGGGATGGATCAGCCTTGGTCTGCAGGGATGGGAAAACGAGCGTTACGGCAGCGCTTATGTGTTTATTATGGGTCTGGCGTTGTGATCATACTGCTGAAATGGCATTCACTTGAAAGAGCTTGATTTACTTCTCATGAACTGTGCTATTTACTTCCTTTTGCTTATAATAACAGAAAGAATTTGATCATCTTTTATTTGCTTAATTGGATTTGTTTCAGGTTTTAAAGCATTAGTGTGTTTCTGCGACGTGTTTATACAGTAAGCTTGCGTTAAATGTTTGCATTGGAAACATAAAAACTAATATGAAATCCATTGGTCATGGATTTTGCACTTCACAAAATGTGTAATTTGCCTTGAGTATCTCTTTTGGCCATTGGAGAAGTTTTAAAAAAGCACTTCATAACATCTTGTTGTCTTTTGAGTAAGATTAAGTACTGCTTAAAAGTGGTTATGTTAAAGCCCTGAGTGGCAATTCTGGGAAGGCAGACAAACGTGATTTTGAAAGGATGCTATTTCTTCCAAATCTTGATGAGACTGAAGTTAGGAATGAGTGAGATAAAGGGCACACCCTAAAATAACCATAGCGATGTGCTGAGAACCTGGTACCTGGCAGAAAGAACTGAAATGGAGAGCTAAGAAAATCAAATGACTTGTCAAGAAAACAGATTATGTCCAGGTTCTTGAGCATAAAGTAGTCCAGGGCTGGGTGTTCGCAGAGCAAAACAGCACCGATAAACATGGTGGTTTCACATCCTTTCACAATTTAAATCCTTTGTAACACCCTTTTGTGATACGCTGCTTGTTGGCTGAATATTCCTGGGATGCAAGGAGTGCTTCCATGGAACACCAGTCCACTGCATTTTGTGGTTATACTTCATGCAGTGATGGGCACCCTAAGGAAGGCAGCTGTGCTTTGTCTGTTCACTCTCTAGTTGCCAACTTCAACTTAGCTGGAAAAAATAATGAGATCTTTCCGTTCATGGCACCCTCGGTGATGTATGAAAGGCAGTAACAGCAGTTCCCAGGGATAATTGCAACACTGTCTGATTGTCCCCTGCTGCTTTAGGAGCCGAGTTTGTTCCCCAGTTTGTGGTGATTACTGAAGGAGTTCACACGTGAGAGGGACGAGTGGGCTGTTACAAACAGGGATAACCAAGGCTCAAACGCTTCCTTAGAAGAGAATGAGATAAACACAGTTTGGAAACAGAGTGCAGTTTGACAGGAGGCTTTCTGGGATTAGAGTGTGCTTGAAAAAGACAATGGGCATTGATTTCATAGGCTGTGCTGTCTCTTTTCGGATTGACTAGGGGTTTTAACATGATAGAGGTGTGTGTGTCTTTATACAATACCATTTTCACTTTTCAAAAGAGAGGAGGAAAAGAATGGTAGTTAGAATGACAGTGATTGACAACTTGCTTTTAAAATTTGAGGGAATGAAAGCACAGTCCCCTCAAATTGCACTTACCTGTTAGCAGCAACTTGGGAATCTGTTGTCAGCATGACTGTTTCATGTAGAACCATTAGACTTAGTGGCTAGACTGCAAATTAGGTCTCCCAGCTGTGCTGTAACTCTTCCAGGTTAGGGGGACAGTGTTGGTTCTCTGGATGAGTAAACATGGTTTCATCCTTTAGTGTGGACAAGAAGAAATTAGTCTGTAGAGCCTTGAACCTTTACAGGGCTAAAGCATGATGCTTGGACAAATGTTCACTGGCTAAGCAGTGAAACAGAACTTTAAGTTGAGGCCCTCCCTCTCCTATCAGCCCTGGAGGAAATGACGAGTGTGGAGGAGATGGGAGCTGAATTTCCAGTCAATGAAGAGGGGTAAGCATTGTACTCCAGCTGGAACCACGGTGCTCTGACTTCTGTGAAAACATATTCTTTCAGACCTATTCTTGACTGGTGTCGTGTAGATCTGGTGAGATGTAAAGCATTCAGGACAAGCTGCTTTTTGTCAGCAGGATAATTCCGCCTTGCTAGCAACAAGTTCTTTTTGAGGCTGCAGGTGCATAATGCTGGAAGTCTTTTGTTTCCCAGGTTTTTTTGTTGAGAGCTGAATCTGTCCCTTTCAGTCATTGCTGCTCTGCCAGACATGATTGTCTGCTGAGAAACAGGAAGAGAGTAGTGCCTGTAACACTTTGAGGAGTGAGGCTGGTGGATTTGAGATGAGGAATTCATAAGGAAAGTACCGAAAGCCTTTGGCAAACTAGGCAAGATGTGACGGGAAATACACGTGCTCCTTTGTTTATATTTCTTCTTCTTTTTCTTCAGAGCAAAGAAACATTCAGAAGAACCTGAATTTTGGTCTGTATTTGGGCACTAGAAGTCGAGTAGACATTTCTCATCCCTGGCTTGAGGCTGCAGCATTCAGCGTAAGCCCAGGCAGACAGCAGCACAAGGCTGGTTGTGTTCCACACCTCTCACCTGGGAAGAAAGATCCCAGTCTGAGACAGACTAATCTCTCCTGCCCTTCTCAGCCGTTCCAGGACACTGCCACTCAGTTCTCCAGTTTCTGCTTCCTGCAGCAGAACAGTCTCTGCTCTGGGCTGCAGCACAACAAGTGTGTGGCTTACAGAGTCCCCATCTTGATTTGTCAGTGCTCCCTGCTGAGAATGTCCCTCGCACCTTGAGGCTTGTGGTTTAGAAGGGAGAAGGAGTGAGAGTATTGACTTTCCTCAACAACACCATCAGGAAGCAAAGGCAGCTCGTCCCTGCTCCACATACACATCCTAGTCATCACTATTTACGAAGTAGGAACAAGAATAGTGGCTATCCAGTGGAAAAACCAAGAGCATCAGCCTCCTGGCTGCTTCTTGTATGGATCCTGTGAACCCTTCCCTGGTCAATGCACATTTGTCATCTCACACTGCAGATTTCTCTCTTAGGCGTGAGGTAGGGGTGTGTCCCTCTTCAAGGAGCTCTAGTGAAAGTGTGAATGCTTGTGGTAGTTCAACCCGGACCTCGGGGGATCTCAATCCATCTGGTTTGGACTCCTTTCAGTCTCTTTTGCAATCCTCCCAGGTTTCTGCTAGCTTGTACTGTTCAATCCAGAGGCTTAAGCAGGAAAGTGCTTGGATGGGGATACGGGGCTCCCTCCCTCTGGAGTCCAGGTCTTCTCCAGTCGGTGGCCGTTTGTACTTGGCTCCTGATGATGCAGCTCCCGGTATCCTGGCCTTGGGAGAACATCTAGCTGCAGCCAGAACCAGTGCTGCCCAGGCAAGATTGAAATGGGGTGTCCCCTTTGCTAAAGACTGGAGCCTTACTGCAGTGGCAAGGGAATTCAGTCATGCAGAACCTCCCTCTGTCTCTCACAGATATGGACACGTGGACTCAAACACGTGGAGAATAAAAATTTCAGGTGTCATCCAACCACAAACCCTTGCTTTTAGAGTGGGCTCTGGCAGCCTAGCGGACACAGAAGCAGAATCCTCCTACAATTGGTCCCCTTATTACAGATTGCATTCCCCAGCAAAGCCAGCTCTGGAAACTGCTAGTGTTTATGTTCACACAGAAAGCCATTCCCCAAAAGAGGTTCTTAAAGGAGAAGAGACATCTAACGGGGCATCTCTGTGTGATGAACCTTGGAAGAAAGACCTTCCAGGCAGTCTGTATCCGGAGGGTCTGCGGGTGTCACTGGAGACAGATTTCAGGGGGGCTCAGATGAATGTTGGTGTAGCCATGTATGGAACTCCACAGGAAGTGTGTGTGAGGGTCGATTCTCCTCCTGGAGATAAAGAGTTTAGCCCAGGCCAGCAGCTTAGTGTTAAGTCTGTAGAAGTCAACAACTCTGAACCTGGTGTTAAGTGCATCAAAGAGTCAGAAGATGTGTGTGACCCCAGATCAGGAGCAGCCGGAAGCTCGGCTGTGGTGGGCAGCAGCCAGTCCAGCCCTTTGGGGATTCAGGGTGAAGAAGGCTTTGGTGAATGTTCTCATGTAGATTTTATGAATGTGAGCAGAGAAGAAACGAACAAATACTCCTACCAAAGCAGCTGGAAGAATTTGGAAGATGATGCCAGTCTCAACCAGTCTGAAGAACACTCTGTGGAGAGGAGTGCCAAAGAGCTACGGTGCTGTGAAGAAGGGAGCCAGACACAGGGAACTGTGTCCAGAGAGGTGAGGGTGTGCTCACTGTGAAGCATCCCTGGTCACAGGTACTGCTTGTGCTTGTTTCTGCCACTTGCTAGAGGTGCAGAGCTGAGGTACAAGTGATGGGGATGCTTGTCCTGTAGTTTTCACCTGGTACTGAATGGCCAGAATCTTCTCCTGTGGTCCTGCTCCATCCCAACAGATGCATCTTTCCATCTTATCTCCTTCTTCCTAAAGACCAGCTTTTTGACTTGGTTTTTCTTAGGAATGTAAACAGCTGTTTATGTTCTCTGGATCTGCATGCTGAGGGAAAGCATTAAACTGGTTTTTACTCTGTGTGGTTGCAGGGCCCTAAGATTTCAGTTTTGCTGCGCTCTTCCATGTCTGAAGTGTGTGAGAGTATTCCCAGAGCAGCAGTGGGGGCAGTGTCCAAGGCATCTGACGTAATACCTGACCCTGAGGCAGCACTGCTCTGGTCTCCAGCCAAAATGACTTGTGCCACAAAGACAAACCCTTCAGCAGAGCGGAGTAGTGGGAACAATTGTGTGTTACTGTCTTTTGTCTGTTTGCAGGTCTCTGAGAACAGCGTCTGGTCATTGAAGGTGAATGAACAAAGGTAAAAACCCCTGTGGTTATGTGTGAATGTGCTGGTAGTTAACAGAGGAGGAGAACTGCTGCAAGGGGCTAAGGAGCATTTGGTTTTAGGACTTAACCTACATTATTCTGCTGTGGTTGGCTGAGGGCCTGCATCCCTTTCTTTTCAGAGATTTGTCTCCAGAATTGAGTCTGATCTAAAAAAATAATTTATGTGTCTTTTAAGCTCTGTCTTCTAAATTCAGCCTTGGTTGTTGCTAGCAACAAAAAGCATTGGTACCATCAGTGCTGTTCTTCGGTGCAGCAAATTCCAGCGTGCTCACTGCATAGTTAAAGAAGGTCAAGTGCTGGGCTTATCCATGAGATCAGATTCAAATTTGTGACCTGTGTGTGAGGTTGCCACCAGTTTAATGGTTCCTTAACTTGAAGAGAGACTGCAGCTTTTTCACTCTTTAGAGAGAACGATTTGAAACAATTCCTTTACAGCTTGATGGCTGAACTCTGATTGCCACCTCCTGGCTGGTTTAACTTTCCTTTCTGTTAACTGGAGCTCACTTTTGTTTTTGTTTTTTTTTTTTCTTTTTAAGTTTCCAGCACTTGTGTGACAGAGAAATCCTAAGAAGGTGTTTCCAAGCCTGGAGGAGGCACGTCCTTTGGAAAAGGGCTGCAGCCTGGCAGCTCTACAGTGAGCAGCTGCTGCGGAAGGGGCTCGGTGCTCTGCAGTGGGCTGCGCACTGGAGGAGGACACAGCTGGAGGTGGCCCGGCGGAGACATGCTAACACTCTGCTGGCTGCCAGCTTCCACAGGGTGAGGATGGGCTAGAGGCAGTGGGATGGTGCCAGGAGCTTTCTGTTGTGCAGCCAGAGAGGGCAGAAATCTTCTTGGGATAGGGAGGAGGAAGGGGGACCCCGTGTGAAACTCAGCGATGGGGCCGCTGATCCCGGTGCTCTGCAGTTTGTTCTGATCGCACTGTTTCTTCTGCAGTGGAAGGGAGCTGTGGCTAAATGGAGCAAGAAGGACTCTCTGCAGCCTGAGCCGTATTCTTACACCCAAAGTTCATCAGCAGGGGGGTTTGGAGTAGGAAGATTAGCAACTATGACAACCTCAGCTCAGCATCAGCTTACAACAGGATACCCAAAGGAAGCAGAGCAGGCTCGTAGGTAAGCCAAGAGCATTCTCTTTCTGTTACCTTGGACAAGGCAAGCTTTACAAACACTGGGAAATTTTTTTCTCAGATGATGGCAAACTAGTTTCCATGTCCTGGGATGTACTGCTGTAGGTAAACACTGCAAGAATTCATAACTTAGTTTCAAGAATTAAACAATCTTATTTCAGAGCTTCTGTGCACTTGTGTTTGAGTGTCTGACAGAAATACTCCTGTACTAATTTTTGGCTTCAGCTATCACATGCTTATGTGATCCAGGTGTAAACAAGATTGGAATGAGGCAATACTACAGTACTCTAGCAGTAGTAGTGTCTCTGCTGTGTGTGGAGTGAGGCAATACTGAAGTCTCTTGCAGTGGTTTGACAGTAGAAGGGTCAAAAGAAAAACATTTTGTTGAGCCTTCAGATTCTGAATGCAGAAAAACAAGTCCAGACAGAAAGAGAAGTCCAAAAAGAGAAGTCCAGACAAGAAAGCTCTGGATTCTGTTCTGTGAGTGCCTTTTTGTTCAGCTGGATGTTAAAGCCTTTTTGTGCCTCTTTCAGGGTGGAGGGAGAGCTGTGGACACAGCTTCGTCATAGCAAGAGAAATGAGTTCTGCTGGAGAGCTGAAGCCATCAGAGACATGAGGCGCCTGGCTGGTAAGTACACATTCCATGGCCTTGGAACAGCTCGGAGGTAATCACTGTTTCACCGTGTTTTTTGGTTTGTGTGTAGCTGTTGCTTTGCCCTGATTCTTTCAGACCCTAATTCTACCAACAGCTGGGCCAGTGTCTGTGGTGGTGGAGCGTGGCCTCTCACCACGTCATGCACCTTTTGCCTCATCCCTCGTGTGAATTTAGCTGCAGCAGGTGCTCTTGCTCCAGCAGTGTGAGCTGCCTCCCTAAAGTTCATTTTCCCAGGCAGCTGGAGTTCAGCCAGGGAACGTTTCCTGTGTGACACTGAATCATTAGAAATTCTTCTAAGTTGTTTTCCTCCCTGTGGTCTCTCCCTGCCCTGCGACGCAGCAGCTTTCAGACTGTGGCGCCTGCAGAAGGAGGTGCTGAGCAAAGAGGAGATCAGGCTCTCAGAAGCCCGTGCCCTGCTGGAAAAGAAGAAGCTACGAAACCTTCTCTGGGTGTGGCATTCCCGATACTTGGAAATGCGGCAGCTTTTAGCACTGACAGCTCAAATCCAAAGAAGTTCAGTCTCCCGGTGAGTTGGAGGGAGGGGTCTATTTTTCATGTGAAAAGCCTGCTCACTGTGAAGGTCCAAGGAATAACAGAGCCAACCCAGATGTGCTGTTCCGTCTTAAAGCCACGTATCCTTTTGTTTTAGGAGTTAATAAGGATGAAAGTAGGGATAGAAACATGAAGAGGAACTACTGTGGCCAGAGATGTTACAACTTGCCTCCTGTGCACTGCCAAAGCTTTTTGATCCTGAACTTTGATGTGCTAAAAGACCAAACCCAAGAGCAGTCACTGTGCTGCTGTGCCTTGAGCATGATAGTGGCTTTTTGCTGAAATAAACAAATAGAAGCTCAGGGGATGACAGCTTCTGTCTGTCTTTCCTGAACTAAACCCACTCTCAGAAAGAGACGTGAGCTTGTACATGGGGTTTTTAATGTGTTTTTATTTGCCTTTGGTATTCTCAGGTGCTTCAGTACATGGAAGGAGGCTGCTGAGCAGAAGGCACTTGAGAGGTGCAACCTGGCCCATTTCAGAGCAGTATCACTGAGGAAGCACTTCCAGCTGTGGGTTGAGATGCTGCAGGTCAAAGAAGGTGATAAGCAGGCAGTGGTGAACCTCTTCCTCCTACAATGGAGGCAGCATCATGGTGAGCAGCTTGGGGTCTGTGCAGAATATAAGACTTGGAGGTGCTTAGGTACCTTCTTCCTCTTCTTGTACAGTGAAAACCAGCTGAAAACAGCCTGGTAACAGAGGGGTTCAGATGGTCCAGGGTAGGAACAAACCAGAGTGGGCAGAACACTAGTTCTGGATGTGTCAGTGAAGCTACAGGGAGATTTGTTGATCTGCTTCATGAACCTGGAAGAAATCTTAAACCTTACTGAAAAGAAGCAGTTTGGGGGCTGGGCTGGGCTGAGTTGGGAATGTCATCTGACAAATGATTCTTGTTCCTTTATGTGTCTGGTTAAGGAGCAGTTATAAGCTCTGAAGCTGACAAGAGAGGGACAAAGAGGCCTGAAGTTCAGCCATTGTGGACTGTGGAGAGACAGTTTCTGGAGAGAACAGACTGCTCTTTTGATGACGTCTGCCAAAAGCTGAAGCTGCAGAGGGCATATCTGCTGTGGAAAGCAAGGCTGTGCGAGCATCACAAAGCTGAGTGAGTGCAGAAGAGCCAGTTCCTTGAGCCCTGCCCTTATTAGTAGTGTCCCCTTGACTTTCTGATCCTTTTAGAAGAACCCCTTTTTGTCTGTACTACTGTCCCCCTGTGATATTCCTTTTCTGACACTTTGCTGTCTCAATATCTTCTGTCTCAGTTATTTCTCTCAGACTTTGGAGCAGTGTAAACTCAGAAAAGCTCTGAAACTGTGGCACCAAAAGTACCTCACGCTGAAGACAATTGAACAAAGTTCTAAGAACTCACCCAGAGCTGTTAATGAGGAACCTCATGCCACGCTGTTTTCTGAGGACCTCTCAACATCGTCTGGCTTTGACAGCAGTGCTGCAGCTACTCTGAACTCTCAAAGCTCATTGGAAAAGGTGAGGAGGCCTTGAGACATCCAGGCTGCTCTGAGGTGTTAAATTGCTGGGATTTTTCAGGTGAAAATTTCTGCTTCAACATGATGTTGCCATCAGCAGACTGTGCTTAAAATTTAATGCTGAGGAGCACTGAATCTGCAGGTTCCTGGAGTTGAAATGGAATCAGAAAGTGTAAAGTCAATGCTCTCTGTGGCCCTTCTGGCTCATCATCTAGTGATGCTGGAAGGTGCTGAGCTGGTGAGGTTCCTTTGCACACTCGCTTCTGTTTGTGGCTGCAAGGTGGAAGGGATGAGGTGTAAAGAGCCTCCTCACTGTGACAGTGTATGTGCTCTTTCCTCAGTACAGAAATACCTGTATTTCTGCATTCAGTACAGAAATAACTTTCCCATCATTACAGCACTCCAGAGCTGTACTTGCTAGCCTGCAGTTCCTTTGGATGCATTCTGGATTTCCCTGATTCCTTGTTAGAAAGAAGAGTAAATGGCCTGGTCAGAACTGTTCCCTGAGTGCTTCCCTTCTCACCCACAGGAGTGCAGTCTGAGTGACAGCAGCCAGCACGGCTTCTCCCTTCTCATCTCTGAGGATGTCACACACCTGCCATGTCACAGTTCTTTCCTGCAACTCCACCAGTGCACAGAGCTGGGCAGGGAGCTGTGCTTGCAGACCTCCTTTCCTCCACAGAGCACTGCAGCTGGGTGAGTTGGAGACTGGTTCTTTGGGATGCTGGTAACACTGGCCCCTTGTTTGGTCTGGCTGAATTCCTCCCTTCTGGATATCCCCTCACATCACCTCACACCATTTTTCCAGATAGTTTATCCTGTTGTTTCTTTCCCTCTTTCCCCGACACTTTTGTCTTGCAGAAGAAATTGGTTTATGGGAGATCAGTTCCAGACTTTGGTGCTACAGAGTCCAGATGATAATAACCAGCTTATCACCAGTTACTCTGCATGGGAAGAGGTGAGGCTAGGAAGTGGTGCATAAAATATAAATGTACAAGAGTTTTCTGCATAGCCCAATTTAGCAAAAAGCCTTTGGGTTTCAATATCAGCATATGGAAGGTCTCACTGCTGTTTCGTCTTTGTCCTTTTCTCTCCGACAGAAGGTTTGGGAGATTGAAGCTTTCCTCAGGGTGACTCTTGCCTACCATTTGCCAGCTGAGTGGAAATGGGCCAGGTGTCTAGGGTTTGAAAGGGATGTGTTAGACACCTCATGTCTGGATGTTCATGGGGGGTGTGTGAGAGAGCAACAGAGAGCTGGGCCATCACAGAAGTCACAGCAGCAAGAGAAAGGGCTGAGCTGCACGGAGTAACTGTGGTATAACAGCAGTTCAAGGTCTCTTTTGCCTTTCTGCTTTCCAGGACTACAATTCTGACAAGGAGGTGAAGAGCTGCTGGCAGCAGGCAGAGAAATGCTGCCTGCAGAGGTACTTCATTATTTGGTCAGCTCGGACTCAACAACTTGTAAAGGTCCAGCAGTACTTCAGGAACATTCAGCTGTCTCGGTAGGGATTGTGCTTTCCAGAAGTTTCCCAAAGCTCTCTGTTTTGAAAGCTTTACCCTTACTTTAAAAATAAGAAAAAAAAAATTCTTTATCCGGCTGTGTTTTTCTGTCTTTGGTGGGAGTTTTTCAGCCCATTATTTTGTGGGTTTGCTCACTTCAAAATTATCATATCTGAACACAGTAATTTCTGGTTGGATTGGATGTCCTTCAAATTAGAGGAAGCCCAGCACTGCTGATAACAAGTCCTGGTAACTTCCTAATCCACTAAACTGGCCTTGCTCTCTACTGATTCCAAAGCTGAAGGGCACAACAGGCTTACTTGGCACCACTAGAACAGAACACCTTATTCCCAGCAACTTGCCCTGTCCATTATTTCCCCTGATATTTCATGGGAAAAGGATGTTAACAGATGAGATGTGTTTCTAAAACTCCCTGGTGTATGTTTGCTGTTAAAGTTTCAGTTACAAGGGTGGGAATCTGTGTGGGTTGTTCCTACAGTCAGTGCAGTGACCTTTGTCTTTCTCAGAGCCTTTCTCAGCTGGCACCACTGGGTCGTGGAAAATAAGAACAGAAAAGCAGCAGCAGCCCTAAAATATGGAGATCATTGCTGCCAGATGGCTTTCAGCCTGTGGAAAAAGAGACTGGCCCAGAAAGTGGAAGTTGACCGGAGATTCACGTGTCACATGCACCAGATCACTGCTGATGCTCTGAAGCACTGGCATTCCTGCTGGCAAAGTGAGTGACCCCACCCCACAGCAGCACTTGTGCCTGTAGGAGAGGGATGCTGTGGGAATGGCTGGGATGGGGAAAGCCCCACTCTTGGCTGTAATTTTGTGCACTGCTCGTCTGGAAAGGCGCCTGCCAGTCCAGGGGTCAGTAAGTGCCTGTGTCACTGCATTATTCTGGCTATCAGCAGGACCAGGGCCCTGCTCTTTTGTAGTGCTTTGGTAGGGAAGGTGCTCCTTTAGCACCTCTACCTCCACTACCGAAAGAGTCCTCAAGCAGTGCATTTCAGCAGCTGGGGAGATAAATGGAGTTCAGTGCAGCACTCCAAGTGTGAACGTGTCTCCTCAGACCCAACAGTCAGGCAGGGTCAGGATGTGTCTTTTGGGGTGGCTTGACAGTCCTGGTCCTGTCCCTCCCTCAGGGGATTCCATGTGCTACTGTGGTGGCGAAGGAACACTCCCAAATGTTGATGGAAAACTGCCTTGCAGATAAGAATGGAAGTGATCTGTGGTCCCTTGCAGGGAAAATTAAAAAGAAGGTCTGACTGCCACGCAGACAGAAAACTACAAGCTGAATTGAAAAGTCTCTTTAGCTGCTAAAGAGAGGACAGGAAATCTTAGCAGGTCTGGTCCCATTTGGTGTTTGCAGCAGATGTGTTCTTTGCTTTTGTCTGGACTCTGTGATGGAAAAATCCTTGGATTGAGCTCAGCAAGGTGGTGTGTTCTCTCCCAGGGAATCGTGCTCTGAGGGAGCTGCAGCAGCAGTGGGCTCAGCACAACTGCCAGGAGAAGAAGAGGCTGGTCCTGCAGACATGGTATTACCAAACAATGAAGCAGAAACACGCTGCTTCCTTCTGGCAACGTCTTCTCCAGCACAGGTTTGTTTCTGAGGGAAGCTTTGAGTGAAGAGCAATTTATGTAGCAGAGAATCCGTTGTGTTCAGAGCAGAGCTTGGGTTTGAAAGTACAGCTAACTTGTGTGTAAATGGAGCTCCTGTAGGAGCACTTCCCTGGGGATGCTTCTATATTGAAGAGTCTCTTATCCATAGCCTCACACTCCACATCTCATTCTTCTCATTCAAAGCTTCTCTTCTTTCCAGAACTTGTGTTCAGTCATAGTTATGCAGTGTTGTATTTGTACTCTAATCAAGGGAGATGCAAACAAATTTGTATAGTTTAAAAATTGAAAGCCTTGTTTTCACAGGAATTATTCAGTATTTGCTGAAAGGAATAGGGGGCAGAGGTTTACAGAGATCTGATGTTTACAGACTTGAGTCTTTTAGGATTCTGGACACAGTGTGTTGATTTTAATTTAATGTGAAAAATTGAGTTCAATATATTCCTGCAGCAAAGCAATATCCAGTAAAGCCTATGAAGAACCATGATATTCAATTCATCTTGGTGTTAGTTACAATATAGGTGAAGCTGTAGTATGGTTTGCAATCTTATGCCATGTTGCAAATCCTGAAAACATAAGAATTTAATTTCTTTTCTCTCTTAGCTGTGTTCAGTGGCTTTCTCACTGAAAACACTTTTGTTTGTGGTTTATGTTGTGTGGGGCTGGTGCCTGGCTGAAGTGCAGTGAAGTGTCCAGCTTCAGTGAACCAGGAATTGTTCAGGTGTTTCTCTCTGAAATAACTCAGGAGGATAAGAATCAATAAGATTATTTATACCAAGGGTTCACTTAAGGCATGAGAAGTGCAGGTTTGGCCCTAGCAGGTTTCCTTTTGAATTGCAGGGTCAGGCTGAGGAGACAAAAATCTGCAGCAGAAAGAGCAACTAAAAACCCAGTGAAACTTTGCTGGCTGTGATGCTACACTCACCCCACCCAACTGCATTTTCCTCTGCAAATCTACCTCTGTGGTGGCTCCCTGGTGGGAATTGTGTTGGGGAGAAGCCCTTAATGTTTCTCCTTCCTGTTGAGTGTGTCTCCACCATTAATCTTCCTTCCAAGTCTCCTTTGATGAGGCAGCATTTCTAATTCCTCACCTGGACATGGTACAGGCTGAGCCCTGTCTCTTCTGAGGGGGGCATTTTTCATGCTAGGATAACCTGCAATAGATTCTCTTGATCTTCCAGGAAGCCTGCCAAGCAGAGGATATTTACACCTCTGCCCTATGGTGCAGTGGGCTGATTTGCATAATGAAAGTCCGAGTGGAACGAGGAACCGAAAGGATAAGCCGGGAGTTAAAAGCAGATTGCATTCTAGGGTGGCCTCCTGTGCATCAGCCTGCAAGATACAGGGAGATTATTGTGGGTGCAGATTTGCAGTGCTGTTTATAGTAACTCCCATAGACACTGATTTTTTTGGAATAAAATTGTCTCCATAAAGATTTGAGTTGTACATCCCACGTACACGGGCCCTGAGTTTGTGACAGCCAAGAAAAAAACCTAAAATCTGAGTCTTGACAACAAGCTGCTGTCTTAAATTCAGCAGACAGACCTCAGGAGTCTGCTGGGTTCCATGCTGAAGGAGATTTTAGCAGTTTTGTTTTCATCCCATAAAGAAAAAGCCTTCATCAAACATCACCCTTAAGGCCAGCTGCTGGAACAGAAAAAGATTGAAGGCTGACTAATTCCTTTTTTTTTTTTTTTTTTGAGGGATCCACTGTGTTACTGGCAGGGCAGCCTAGGAAAAGTGTTTGTTTTGGAGTCAAAGGAAGAGTGTAGTGTAATATTGGATTCTCTTTGCAGAGGCCTTTGAAGAGGAGGAAATGCTAAAATGGCCAGAGGGAAGCAGACATCCTCCTGGGCTTTGAGTAGCTGGGAGGTAACAGTGTTGGGAAACCAAAGTAAAATAAGGGAAGTCTTCAGCAGAAAGACACTGTAGTTGAGTCTGAACTTGAAGCTCCCAAAGACGAGGCACTGGAGAAATAAGTAGCATGGAGAAAGATCCATAAATGTTGGTTGCAGAAGGAATAATAGGAACAGCCTTTATTCATGTTGAATGCTCTTTGGCTTGCTTTGACCGTTTGTGTGGGACACTGCAGGCTGGGTGAGAAGGTGGGATTTGGTCTAACATGGAAATGTGACTTTAGGTATCTGCCACTTCTCTATGCTTGTATTTTTTCAGGTGCCTCACCACCTGGGCCCAGGTCACTGCGTGCAGTCTGAGGCAGCAGGAAGCCCTCTCTGAGTTCAAAAGGGTCAGAGAGCACCGTCTCTTACTTGTGAGCTTTTCTGAGTGGAGGAACAAACTCTTGGAAGCCAAACAGAGAATGCCAGGAGAGAGAAACCACGAGTGGCAGTCCCCCTCTCCAGGTAAAGCCTGTCACCGCTGGCGAGTGGCTGCACGGGGACAGCAAGCCCTGCGCCTGGGATCTGCAGCCACTGTCGAACAGGTAAGGTGAAGATCCCTGTCAGACGGTTCTCCTTCACTGCCTGTTCCCTCCTGAAGGCTCAGTGAGTCACGAGGCGCTGAGAATTCAGTGACAAGGCTTGTATAAAAATTTGATTTGTGGTGACTGCTTAGTCCCTGCTTTGAAATTCTTTACAGACCGTGCACACAACTTCATCACCATAATCTGGCACTTGCAGCAACCATCTGGAGCACTGCAATAAGGAAAAGGGGACATTTTGACCAGAGAGATGAGAGCACTCCCTCCTCTCTGCTCAAAGATGAGCTGGGATAATCACTGTCCCTGCAGAGCAGAGTGAGCTGTCAGAGTTGCAGCTTTTTTCAAAAGGCTCACAGCTCACCAACCACAAAGAGACCGATTGATTTGGAAGGGCTGAGTCAGTCCTGCTGGGAGCTCATCTGTGCAGTTTCCAGCCTGGGGTCTAGCACATTAAACTACCTGCAGGGCTGTGGCATAAATGTGTCTCCGAGGTTGGTTTGTGTGAGTGCTGTCTGTGTGCATTGTGTTTACTCTTGGCTGTGTTATTTCTGTTTGCAGGCCTGCAACTACTGGACCAAAGCAGCTGCCTTTTCCCAGTGCTTACGACAGCGCAGTACCCTCATAGGGGCTAGGAAGAGGAGGAAGATGGCTCTGTCCTGGTCCCTGAGTAAGAAAATGCTCCCTCCTCTCTTCCTGTCATGGGGCCACGTGGGGAGTGTGTGAGGAGGCAAGGGGAGTAGTGTTTGCTAAATTGACTGGGATTTCTCTGTGGGGTAGAACCTCATGGCAGTCAAACTCTGTGGGTTGCTTCCATGTCGAGCCAAAGGGCTAAGGACTCAGAGCTCCTGTGTGATTCCTCTTTCCTTTCTTAGAAAGCAGAAGAAGCAGAGAAGAGGGTTCAGCACCAGCTGGACTTTTTCCCAGTGCCATTCAGCGCTGGCTGGTGATCTACAGAAACCAAAACAGGGCCGAAAGGCTGCGGCTCCCTCACCTGGTGGAGAGACCTGATGTGGTAGGATCCTCTCCTGCACATGCAGGGATCGAGGAGAACAAAGCAGAGGTGGACTTGGAGGAGTGGGATGAGGAACGTCTCGGGTAAGGGGAGTGGAGGGCTCTGGGCTTCCTCTTGCTGCTGCCATGAGGGAAGGGTTCCCTTGTAAGGCTGTTGGGCTGGTAAAGCTGATTTTTCTCCCTTGCCTGCAGGAGGAAATACCTGAGGTGGTGGCATCGCACAGTGGTCCTTTGCCGGCAGCAGCGGGAAAGGAGACTGCTCTGTCTGGCAAGAGGGTGGCACCAGTGGAAGGAAGCCAGCAAGGTGGTGACACTGGCTCAGGTGTTGGTGAGTGTCTGCTGCCACCAGGGTGGCAGGGATGGGTGTTACTGGGCAAGCCTGCTCTGCTCGCAGTCTGGGAGATGAGACTTGGGAGGTTTAACAAGTACCAGTGTGGGCCAGAAATCCTGCTCTGCTGCTGTGGATCATTTTGCCATCATTCTTTTTGAAATGCCAGCCTGGCACACTGGCAGATCTACAGATTTAGTTGTGCTTTGCCCCGTCTTAAAAGTGGGAAGCCGATACAGGATGATTTGTGTAGATTGTCTGTAGCTTGTGCAAAAAGTTCACAGCAAGTATCACAGTCTTTGTCCTCATCTGTGTTCCTGATACATCCCACTGGTGACCACAACCTACCAAGGGCTGTCATTTGGTTTCCTCTTCCTCTCAGCCCATGCTCTGCCTGACTTCCTGGGCTTTAGCTGTGTGAGAGGGGGGGCTCTGACCTGCCCAGGGGACAAGATGACTCCTGTATAAAGCCCATATTCACTGAGGAGCTGTGCTGGAGCTCCCCAGGGTTTCGGGCCTTAATTAGCCACAGGATTTGCAGGAGACAGAGAGAGCTTTGTTATTAGTCAGCTCTGTTTGTTACCAATGCAAAGTCATTCAAGAGGGACCCAGGAAGGCAACTGGGAAGCAAGGTGGGACTCAGGGGAAGGGAGCTGATTTGCCTGCCAGAGCCCAATTAATCCGTGCACTGTCTGTTCTGGCAGGACCGGCAGCGGCTGATAGAAAAGGCCTGGAGGGTGTGGAGGCGAAGATATTTGCAAAGCTGTGTGGTGCAGAATTTTTTGGAGGAGGAAGCCAGGAGCCTCCTGTCCCAGGTAAGCATTTACGAATCCAGTGCTTCGATTCTGTGGGCCTCAGTGCACCAGAAAGCACCCCAAAGGGACAACTGGTGTTCCCTGTATCTCTCCCCCTGCACAAAGCACTTGCTTGGGGAGAAGTTGAATACATCAAGGAATGGGACTTGCCAGTGACAAAGGGAAATAGCTTCCAGCTTTACATGGGGTCATCTTTGGGTGTTTTTCAAAGCTTTGTGTCAGCAGTCAATTTCCCTGACGTGTGCCCCCTTCCCCGCTGTTATTAGTGATGTTAATCCACTAATCCCCTGCCTCTGGAGAGCCCACTCAGGGAAGAAACAGGCTCCACATTGGTGCAGGAGGGCCGTGCTGACTTACACCCAGGGGCAGGCAAATCACGATGAATTTGAGTGAGCAGGCAAAGCCTTAGAACTCATACCCAGTTTACTCCTCTGCCTGCCTCCTGAAGATCCATGCAGGATTAGGTCCTGCTTTAAGGAGGTGGGAGCAGGTACTGAAATTAGAGGGCAGAGGGGACACTGTTCTTTTTTCTCTCGCATTGATTTGTGCTTTGCATGTCATTTATTGGCTTAGGAGAGGCAGGGAAGGGCTCTGAGTGAAGGGTGAGGCAGCTGGCAGAGCCATTGCTAGAGGGCAGGCTGTGTTTATGGGTTGTATGAGAGTGGCTGCAACCCCTCAAGGGTCACCTGAGTATTTGATTTGTCCACTTCCCTCTCTCAGGCCTTTGAAAGGTGGCAGCAGCTCACAGCATTCCAGCTCAAGGACAAAGGACCCTGCTGAATAGAAGGGGACTGCCTGCAGCTGCTGCTCATTTCAGGACACGTGGAGGATGTGGCTCCTGTCACAACAAAGAGCTGGTCCTGTGGGGTCGAGAAAGAGAACACTGCCCTTGTGATAAAAGCAGTGCTGCAGGCCAGAAGGGTGGCAGCCAAAGGACAACCAGGAACACATGGTACCTAGTCAAAGATCCTCTTTAAATGACTTGTACCCTACCTCCTTAGCAGCACAAATGGAGAAGTTACCCCCCCCATTGTTGTGAGGTCGCATTCCCTTCTCCTCTGGACCCTGCTTTCACTGGAGTTCTGATTAAAGGTCACAAAACCGCCTTACAGGCTCTCCCTTTACTCAGTGTTCCTGTCATGGACAGGAGTTTGGCATCAAGCAGGGGAGCAAGCAAACACATCAGTCTTAGGGATGGAGCAGGAGTTTGCCTGTGCTAGATCCTGTTGATTCCAAAGTCTGGACTGTCCCGGGGAGGTACAAACACCGCTCTTTATTTTTAGATTTGGCTCTTCCCCCCGGTGGGAGATTCCCACATGGCTCCCACCTCCTCCCCCTGTCTAGGTCCATCAGCTCTTCATTAAGCCTTTCAGTGGGTGGCCAACCTCCTGACTGCTTCCTGCTGGTTCCTTTCTGTGCTGAATGGGCCGGGGATGGAGAAACCTGCTGGGAACAGCTGAGCACCAAAAGCTTTGCTGAGGCGAGACAGGCGTGTCTGATCCCCAACCTTCCCATTACTTGCCTCTGTGATTGATGCCCTGTAATTACCCTGGATATACGAGCCCGGCCTCAGACAGCTGTAACAAGAGGGTCTGAAGAATCTGGAAAAGGCTTTTCTTCCTTGCTTGTTTGAAAGAGATGCTCACAGCATGGTGGGGATCTCAAAATCCCACTGGGAACTGCCCCGAGGTCTTGTTTTCCTAGCCTGGGGTAGCTTGGCAGGATTATTAAGTACACAAACCAGCCTCAGTAGCTCCCCCCACCCCTTATTCCAATGCTGGGGGGCCTAAGGCTGTTAAGAGTCATTAGGTCAGGAAAGGTAGGCCTGTCTTTCCCTACAGGCACTGGAAAAGGACCACCACAACTCCTTCGACATTGCAGCTCTGAGCCAAAAGATGGTTAATTGTGGTAAATTCCAGGATTTTAAGCTTTCTCTGCTCTTCCATGGAGCTTTGGCCATACTCAGGGCGTGCACTGAAAGTGAAGGCAGAACTGCCCCAGAAACAGTTGGTTTTCTTAAAATTTTCCCTTGTGCCAGGCTGACTAGTTTGCAAACAACATGAGTCTCTGCTAGAGTATAGCCTAGGACAAGAGACATTTGTATTCATGTAATTTATTATACATAATCTAAGGAATAGTGTTGATTCCTAAGTAGCTTAATCCAGAACTGGAATTCACATAGTCCTATTAAAAAGAAAACAGGGAATACAATAAAAGGAGAAAAGTTAGGGAGAAATATTGAAAACTTCTTCTGGAGTGAGTGCAAAATAACCTGATATGAGCAATTATGAAGAAATACCGTTTAGGAGTGCAATATAAACGCAATTTGACCTTCTTTTCCGGGTTGGTAACTACTGAAATAATCCCCTTGCATAGGCACAGCTGACAGGAGTGTTTCTGCCCCCAAGGCAGCATTTCTGGCATGGGAAAGTTACCAGAATGGAGTTTTATCACATTGATGCAGGAGAGTTCTCTGTTCTCTATCAACACAGCCATTAACAGCTCTTCATCGGGCAGAGCTGGCCTTCAGGCTCAGTCTGGAGCCTCAGCTCAGAGGTTCAGGTAGTTCTGGCTATTGTTCAGTGAGAAGGGCTCAGGGAGTCTTTTCTTTGTGCTGGGGACAGAAGAGCACATAGTGTGGCCTTAGGAGTGTGTTGCCCATCACCAGCACAGGAGCTGCTTCTGCTTCGCAGTGGACGGAAGGAGGAAGTAAGAGAGTGAAAAAGAGATTTTCACTGCTGAGTTGGAGAGTTCAACAGCTCAAAAGTGTCATCCACAACCTGCCAGAGGCAGTTCTCGAGGGGGAAGTCGTTGTCCACCAGGTTGACCAAGTAATAGTTGTCATGGATGTACTGGATGATCATGCGAGAGGGCGACTCTTCCTCGTAGAGCTTGGCCCACTGCTCGATCCACAGGGCAAAGGCCTCGTCCTGGCAGGGGGAGAAAAAGTGTTGGCAGTTGTGTAACATTGTCATGATACTTAATTTAGGACACCTAGTGTCACATGTGGCTGACCAGCCTGTGGCTCGCTTCTCCTCCGTGAACACAGCAGGAGTTGGGCAAGGAGCCTCCTGCTTTCCAGTCAGGGGGAAGTGCCCTGAGCTGAAGGGAGACACGGTTTGAAGTGCAATGAATGGCTCACTGCTGCCCCTGTGTGTGTGTAAGAGGGGAGGGAGAGCCACTGTCCAGCACTCTGGGGCCCTGCACAATGACACTGGTAGTTCCCAAGTTACTGTGCACTTGGTGTTTGAGAAGAGCTTTTGCCACAGCAAAGTTCTCCTTACACGGAGGGAGCAGGAGAAGCAACACCTGGACCTCTGCAAGCCAATATTGCAACAGCCCTCAACTGTGAGAAGTGTCACAGACCACAACCCAACCAGACACTGAATTTCACAGCAGTGTATCCAGCAGGGGGGAGGACTCACCTTCCAGTAGAGGAAGCTTACAGGATCCACTACAGTGGGCTGGATGATCTCCCTGCCTGGGAAGATGCCCCAGGTGACAGCGTTGGGTTGCAGATCTGGAGCATTGGTGATATTCTGGCCCTGCCAAAGGAAAGAAGACCTTTCTGAAGCAACTGCTGGAGGAGGAGCTGAGTGAGTTGGAACAAATATATTTACCCTCTCCTTGTTAACTCAAACAGCTGCTGCACAACACAGCTGACTTGCTTTTCTTTACTTTCCCTTCCCTTCATCAGCCCTCATGTCCCACTTTGTTCACAGCAATATCTGAATCTTGGATATTTGCCTCTCTCCCCAGGTGGTGAAAGGAACGTGTCCCGTGCCCCACAGCCCACCTTGACGTTGACAATGTGGTAGTTCACCCTCAGCTCGTACTTCTTCAGCACCTTGAGCAGCGCCGTGATGATCTCGCTGGAGGCAAAGAACTCCAGGTAGGCCTGCAGGGAGGGATGGGGAAGGGGGAGGAGAATCAGAGCCTTGAGTCACTGCAGGACAGTTAAATACAGGCAAACAAGGACAGATGGTGGAGTCTGGGCTGCCTTGCACGTTCATCTTTAGAAACATGTACTATAGAGAGGGCTGAGCAAAGGGCAGAGCAAATCTGTAAGAGAGCTGGGGAAAAAAAATAACTGGGGAAAGCAGATATAACAGCCCAGAACAGAGAGCTCAGGAAAGAGCTACATCCTGCCTGTTTTGCACCCATCCAAACAGACAGGCTGGAGTGAACTCCAGTGTAAACACAAGTGCTGCACCAGGAAGCAGCCTGTGCCAGAGTGCTTGGAAGAGGCCTGAGCTTGACCTCTGTTCTACAGCAGTGTCTTGCCAAGGCAGCCCAGCCTGGTGAGAGCAGAACTCGGGGGTCTCAGCTGGGCTCTCCTAAGCACCACTCCCTGTCCTCATCTTTGGTTCACAGTTCTCCCCGTGTGGTTATACAAACGAATTCTGTACTTGCTCTGTGCTTGGCTGCTCCCAACAACTGCTTCCCCTCCCCCCATTTCCTGGCTATTGTGTGAGATGATGGATTTCCCTCACCTCGGGGGAATCTTTTCCTTTGAAAACATAACTGCATTTGCCATCTGCTGGTCTCTGGCTTTAGCGGTTTGGATCCCTTTTGAACAAGGCTGCTTTGTTTCCCAGTATGAGCCACTTGCCTGGCATTTACCTCGATTCCTATCACAGCCATTAGTGGCGAGGCTCCAGGGCCTGAAATGCCTGACAGTGGGAGGCAGGACTGCTGGCAGGCCAGGGAAGGAACCTGGCAGTTGTCTGAACAGCACAGCACAGTGCTGTGGGCTGGGTGCAATTGTGGAGAGCTCTGCCTTAGTGAAGGACAGGCAGGGGAATTTATAAATGCCCAGTTATCACCATGAGAAGCTGGGTGGTAGAGATACTACCCCATTGATTCCCATTTTATGGAAAACCCAGGTGCTTTCTGCATCACTGAATGGGACCAGATGCAGTGAATAAAATATATCTCAAACTTCTCAGCCTTGCTCTAGAAAAAAGTTACCGATAGTTGCTTGCCGAGAGTAGAAACAAGAAACAATACATGATCTGAGGTGGGAGAAAACAGCCCTGAACTCTGCCACAGAGATGACACAGCCTGGGTCTTAGGACACCAAAGGAGCTTTGCCTCATCTCACCAACAAGGCATTAAGATAAGGAGCAGGCAGAAAGATTATCTGGATGAAAGCCTGGGACCTCCCAACCCAACAGAGGCCAAACAGGGTCAGAACTCTTTGCTGCCTAGCCAGGAATAGTACAGTACCTTTTGGAAAACATAGCCCCCACTGGGCCCCCAGCCTACAATGGGGTCTGTGGATGGTTTGCCGTTGATGTTTGGCTGGGAGTTGATGGTCAGGATGCCTCGTCTGTTGACCTTCTCCAGCTGGTCCTTCAGGAGGTTGGTCTCGGTGGCCAGAGGGTCGTCGTTCCAAGGCATGCAGGTGACCTGCCGTGAGGAGAAAAGGTGGCTCACAGTGGGAGTAACAACCCCTTCATGACCATCTGGATGTTGAAGGCACTCAGAAGTGCCCTGATGGCCTCAAACACACCTGCTGCAGGAGAGAACTCCCAGGTTTGGTTCACAGGGCAGCATATGCTCAACTCTAAGAATGACTGCTGAAGTCTATAGATACCAGCCCTGTCATACTGTAGCAAATTTCCTTTTATTTTGAGCCCTGGCTGCTGGATCCCCTTCCAAACACTGTCCCAGAAAATCCTTTTGGGTGGGGAAGTGCCAATTCTTGTTTAGAAGAATGATGTAGTACCAGGAGCAACGGGAAACGTGCACTATTGTCTGTGCCACACCAACCACCCCTTCCTGGGCCATCACTCACCCTGTGCCCGTTCCTGTTGGGCTCTCCAGTGATGTAACAGGTGAACACCTCAAAGACACTTTCCTCACCAGTCAGCTCTTCTCCCCACATCTTCAGGAGCTCCTCCCGGGGGGACTTGCTCTTCAGGTAGAAGAGGTAATAATCCTTCAGTTCCCCAAAGGCTGGAGAGGAAGAGTTGCCCCTGCAAGGGGAGCAGACACAGAATTAACAGCCCACTGAGGAAGATCAGCTGATTTGGTGGTGCAGGGAAGCAGCCACCCAGGAAGAGAAGTATCCAACAAAACCCACCTAGACACCAAAAACCTCAAGATCTTGGTGCCATTCTCCTCACCTCATTCCATCCAAGCAACTGGGGACCACTTTGTTAGGAAGCCACCTCTTCAGTGAAGCCCAAAGTGTGCCCAGGACACCCATTAACGGAGACCAACTGAGCACCAGGCTTTCCTACTGCAGCTGACACTCACCACCGCCCATTGGGGAAGTCATCCCACTCCTGGGTCCTGTAGATGTAACTCTTGGGCCTGGAGGCCCAGAAGATGGGCCGAACATCTTCCACTCTTCTCTTGGGGTGGGCACTGACTGCCCAGGGCAGGGGCCGCCTGTGTGGGAAAAGCAGACATTAACACACTTCCTCTGCTGACTCTCCACTAGAGCCTGGAAGCCCTTCCCCTGGTAACAGAGGCTGAGAAGAGTTCTGGCTCGCCGAGAAGTAGGACAGGAAACTCTTCTTCCTTTATGGAAAGTGTTTCCCCTGCAGTTCCCTTACAAGATGCTCAGTAGGGGTCTATTTAATGTTAGAGTACAGCACTGACACCTGAAATTGGAAAAGGTAAGGCAAAGCACTATGGGAAGGTACTGTAAGGAAAAAAAAAACAGCTGAGAATTTCCTTTGCTGCCTGTGGACTCAGAGAGAATTCCACATTCCCTTTATCAGCTGCAGAGAACCCTAGAAATCCACAGTGGGAGCTTTCATAGCACCCAGCCTGTAAGAGGGGTTGTGACAGGGATCAAAAACTTATTTCTTCCAAGTGGCAGCTTTAAGAGTCTGGGTTTTTAAAGTCCTAGAACAGCTCCTTTAAAGCTACTTTACTAAACCAACCAACCAAACTCCTCCTTCAGCTGTCCCCTCTATTCCTCCCAGCTCTTGTTCACAGAAGGGTGAACTTCTAAATGCAGAAAGGTGCTAAAAGGGAAACAAAAAAGGCAAAAAAAAAGCAGAATTTGCTTGCTCTCAGAAGGTGGGGTGGGTGGATGGATGTGAAAGTGGAACTCACAGAAACCAGTATGTTCTGCTCACCTGGGGTCCTCCTTCCACAAGCCCAAGCGCTTCAGGACCTCAGTGGTGGCCACTTCCCGGTTGAGGGTGTAGAAGTGGAGCCCATGCACCGTCCCACTGTCCAGCAGCTCCCGGCACATGGACACTGCCAGCTCCACCCCGTAGTTCCGGATCGCTGCATCGTTGTCCTTGATGGGCTCAATCACATCTTTGATCTCCTGAGGCACCTCCAGCTTGGAGAGCTTCACCAGCTGGCGCAGGGAGTGGTAACCCTGGAGGAGGATGAAAGGGATTTGTATTTTTCCAAGGCCCTTTTCTGACATCCCCGTAGCACAGGTACTTGGTCTCAATTTTGTGGCAGGTTTAGAATTGGGTCTCCTGGATTCCACTCCCAGGCCCCATCTCCAGGATGGTAACACGGTCCAGGTCATGTCACTTTTGGTGGTTTTTAGGTCCTTGTCCAAGCCCAGCATGCTGACAGTGACAACTAACACCTCAGGACTGGTGGCATTGTCCCTTATGCCCCTTTTTGCCATATGGGCACAGAAAACTTTTTCAGCTTGTTATTACCTGCCTCTTTAATTTAGCAAACCACCTAGAGACTTAGCACATGTTTAGCACTCTCACTTCCCAGAAATTTTGTGGAGGATATTTACAGACCTCTCTCTCTCAGGCCCTGACCCACAAACACTTAACATCCTGGATCCTTATTCCCTCCCCAAACTCAAATTACTGGATTTCACCTGTATGGGGAAGATGCCAGGAATAATGGGGCAGGTGATGCCAATGGCTTGACAGTCCTTCATGAACTTGAGAAAGGTTTCTGGTCGGAAGAAAAGCTGTGTAATGATGAAGTCTGCTCCAGCAAAGACCTTCTCCTTCAGGTGCCTCAGGTCTGCCTCATAGCTCTCTGCTTCAGGATGACCCTTGGGGTAGCCTTTGGGAGGAAGAGGGGTGGAAAAAAATGAAACCCTGGTGGTCAGGGCAAGTTGCTAGAAATTAGGAAGTATTGTATTGTCACAGCAGGCCAGGGAGGGAATGCTGAGCTGATTTTCCTGTCTCAGACCCTTCCCCCCACTCTGCAGTGGAAGACATTTACCTGCCACACAGATGTCAAAGTAATCATCAAATTCACTGCGGATGTGCTTAACCAGGTCAACAGCATGGTTGAAACCATCTACTTCTTCCTCCCATTCCTCACCAGCAGGATCTGAAAAGAGAACAAATCCACAGCTCTCTCCAACTGTTTGCTGGACTCAGATCTGCTACTTCTGTAGAAACCTCCTGCTATCAAAAAAAAAAAAAAAAAGACAAAGATGAAACCCCCAAGTCTGCAGTTTCAACCATGGACCAGTTTTGCCTACCCTTGAGCTGGAGGGACTGCTAATAAAGGGCTCAGGTGAAATGCAGTCTCAACATTTAATTCTCACAGAAGGAGCCTCTAATAAATCTTATTTCTCTGTTTTTTCCCTGGAATTGAACACAGCAGCAGCACAGGCTGAGCCCTGCACGTCACAGGACTCACCTCCACGCAGGGCCATGATGTTCTTCAGCCCAAGCCTCTTGGCCTTCTGCAGATGCCCCGTGATGTCATCCTTGGTCTGGTTGCAGCATGTCATGTGCAGGATGGTCTCCAGGCCACAGTAGTTGACTGCAGTGTTGGCAATAATCATGGAAGAGGTTTCCTTGTCAGATCCCGGGTCCCCTGCGGGGTGCCACGTCACGTCAATGAAGAGTGGGCCACCTGCTCCCATGCGGTCAAACCTGTGGGTTTTAGAGCTGTGTCAGCCCACACCAGGTAGGCAAATCCCCTCCCTAGGCCTGGGGTATCGTGCTCACTGCTGGAATGCCAGCAACAGGCACAGAGAGCTTGGGTGACAGGAGAGACCATAAAAGTGTTGCACTGGGAGTTAAGCAAGTGGCCAGTGTAAATAAGGAAAGCCATCCTTTAAGGCTCTCTGGGGAAGAGCTTACAAGAGCTTACAATCTCTTTGAAGATGCAACTGAGGTGTTCTCTGGACAATAAACTTCCTCCCCTGCATGTTCTATTAGACTGACATGGCTCCTGCTAGAGAGCAGTGCAAGTCCCGTTCCCTTTGAGATGGGACACCATGCTGCAACCCCCTGCTCCCAGCTTGAACTGGAGAGGCCACAAATATGAAAAGATGGATCAGAACTCTGTTGTGTTCCCCAGTGTGCCCAAGAGAAGAGACAAGGCCTCCCTTAACTTGTCTCTCTCCTGCTCTGAGTTGGAACAGGCCCTTCTGCTTAACATATGGCACTGGCATGCAGCAGCTACAAAGAGAATTATGAAATACCCTCTTCTCCTCCAGGTGGGTACATGGTGGCTCCTGGGGCTCCAGAAGAACTTCTAGCTCTGCTGAGAACTATCACCTTTCATTTAAAGTTTGGATGGGAACACCTATCTCAGAGGCTGAAACTTCAGTCCTCAATAATGCAGAGGCACAAACCATAGTGGCTGGATGATTCTGAAAGCAAGTGGGAGTCTGTTCCAGAGACTCTGGCACACAGCCCCTCAAGGAGGATTCTCTGCTTTCAACAGGTACTTTTCTACCCCAGCATTGTGCTTCAGCCCCAGAGCATGACAGCGGGGTTGCTCCAAATTCCCAGAGCGTGGGAGCAAGGAAACAGCCTGGCCCCTCAGTAATCCCACCACAGCACTTAACCCTTCAGGGCCTCCAAGAAAGACAAGTTACCTGGTGTCCATTACCCTCCTCAGCAGGAAAGCACAGCCCCATTACCTGCTTCGTCACCTGGAAGGGGAGACAGAGCATGGGGCAGAGCCTGCCTCATTAGCTATTTCCCAGCCCTCCACCACTGACACTCCTCTCCCACCGCGCACAGCGCTCACCTGGAGATGAGGTTGACAGCACCATTGGCCGTGCGTGGGGGGAAGAACTCCAGGGAGAACCACTTGTCGCCGGCCTCCTGCCGCCGGCGCATCTTCTCGCGCAGCCGCTCGTGCCGGTCGGCGTCGAGCACCGGGGTGGAACAACGCGAGTTGTCCTTGGAGCTCTCGCTCCCGCTGCTGCTGCCGCCATCGGACCTGGAGCTGGAGCTGGCACTGCAGCTCTGCTGGGTCTCATTGACCATGGTGGGAGCTCTGGAGAGGGGAGCAGAGGGAGCGTGGTGGGTACGAGGGTCTCAGTGTGGAGCGGTTACTGCCGGGGTGGGCAGACGATGATTAAATAAGCCCATGCCGAGACCCAACGTTCATCATCAAGGAGTCCCTTCTGCCAGCCCTCACAGTAAACTGCAGCGAGAACACAATAAATAGCACGTGTTTAGATAGTGCTGAGAGAAATAACACAGCAGTTGGCTTTGTGCCGCTTTGATGCGGCTCTTCTGTGTCTGCTGGGTCAAGTTTGGCTCTCGGAAGAGTCAGGTCAACATCACTTTTGCCCTGACTGGAACTCAGCAAGGCAGGATGCCCATGTGAACCAGGTGGTGGCCTCTGATCTCATGGCCTTGGGCTGGGCATGCCAGCAGATTTATTTTTTTTTTTTTTTGCCTACAGCGGGTGTTTCTTGGACTGTCTCCATCCTCAGAATTTCCATTCTGTCTGTTCCCAAAAGTCAGTGCTGCTCTACACTGTAGGTAGGAGAGACAGTGCTAATGGGGCAGGGACACAAGAGTGCGCACACTATTCCTGTATTAGAAACAAAAGACAGAATCCCCTCTGATCAGGCCACCCCCAAAAACTCAGGCCTTTGTTTTCTTTGCTGCATCAGACAGCTTCATTTCCAACCACTGGCCTTTTCCACAAGACCCACCATCTCCACAGACAGCAGTCCCCTGGGCCAGCCCCACTGCACACACTCTTTAGCAGATACACTGTTCCTTTCCTCACCGATTGTGGCTGCTTGGAAACAAAGTCAGCAGAGACCATCCTCTTCTCCCTGCCTTGCAACACCACAAGCTGTGCCTGCCTGGCTCCACAGAAAGCAAAACAGCGACTCAGAGGTGCAAGTGGGTCTAGGATGCCCAGCTCCACTCAGCTCCCCACAATGCTCCATCCTGTGCCTTTAAAATGAGGTAATGAGCTCACAGAGTTACAGAAGAGCTGCCACAAAACCGGGATCTGCATTATTTGCTTAGGTACCTGCCAAAACTTCATCACTGGGAAGCAGCACGTTGTCCAAGCATTACATAACTTTGGAGCCTGTTTCGGAGGGAAGGGTTGCTCGAGCCAGCACATGCTCTCTGTCTTTATCGTAACCTCCGTGGCTTTAGGTCAGCCAAAAGGACTTTGAACTCTTCTTCTACTGTTTACACTTGAGTTGCCAATCAAGCAAAAAGCCTTTGGGAGAAAGTCTGCTTTTACCACCTGAGGAACCTCTCCAGCTGGCAGGAGATGTGAGGAAGGAGCGCAGGCCTCCTGCTGCCAAGAGGAACCGGGAGCCTCAGATCTCTTGTGTACCAACACAGCAGCTGTGGCAAAAACAGCAGCTCAGACCTACCCACGAGTGAAGCAAAAACAACCCCGCGCACGGGCACAGCCCTGACCAAGCTCACCCAGAGGACTTTGCCTGACATCCACGTGCACTAATCTGGGAGAATTATTCCAAAGCATGTGCTGTGATCAGGCTGGCGGCTCAAAACCACGTGCTGTCAACTCCTAATATCTCACTTCTAGCAAGCATGGCATATCACTGTAGGCAAATCAAAGGATGTCTGCTTTCCCACTAAAACCCATCACAAGGGGAAAGGGTTTGTGTATTAACGCCTCTGTAGGATGAAAAAAGTTCCTTATCTTGCTGGAAATACCGAATCACAAAGACAGGAGAAAGGTTCACTTAGATTCTGTCTATAGGCAGCATGTGGAGCAGTCTACCGTCAGATGCATCACAGACTCGCTGGCAGAAGCTTGCCGTTATTGCAGAGATAAACAAGATAAGTGTGAACAACAAAGCCAGCAGCAAAACAAGGCAATCTTAAGCACCTCTCAGCACTCCTGCTCCTGTCTCTGCCACGCTGCAGAGCTCAAACATCCGTGGCTCAGCACACCAGGATGCGCAGCATGGATGCACCTGTTGTGCCTTGTACGATGCCGGTGCTATTCCAACTCCTCCCTGCCCTGAGCTGACACCTAGACACTCAGGGTGGAGAACCTGCACTCCCCGAAAGCTCAGCTTTACCACGCGGGCTAAACTCACTGCACAGATGCCCCGTTCACACGCTGCAAGGGGCTGCTCCGGGGGCCTCGCTGTCCCGGGCCGCGGCATCGGGCTGAGAGCCCTGCGGGGAGCTGAGGGGGCCCGCGGTTCGATCCGCCGCCAGGACAGCGGGACCTCGGCCACGGAAAGGCCGGGGGGGAGCAGCACTGGGGTCCGCGGTGCCCGGGGGGTCCCTACCGCGCTCGGGGCCAGGCGGGCATCCCGCTGCAGCCCGATGGCCCCTCCACCTCAGTAAACCCCACCGGGCAGACCCGCAGCGGGGCAGGGCGGTGCTCCCCAGCGCTGGGGCAGCCATCGGGTCCCCATCCCGGTCCCGCTCACCTGCGGCCGGTGCCGGGCACTGCCCGGGCCGCCCCCCCGCCCGCCGCGCTTTAAGGGCGGCCGCGGCCGTGCGGGTCACGTGGGGCTGCCCGCACCCGACATGGCGCCGCGGGGGCGGGGCTGGACCGGGATGGGGCGGGATCAGACCGGGATGGGGCGGGAACGGGAGCGGGATCGGGATCGGGAGCAGGATCGGGACCGGGACTGGGACCAGGCGGAGCCGGGCGGGGCCGCGGGGGCGTGGCAGGGCAGGGCTTTGGTGGGCGTGGCCATTGTTGGGCGCGGCCATTGGGGCGAATGGGCGAAGCCAGACACTGCTTGGGGGGCGCGGTCACGGGGCGGGGCCAACCCTGGGCGGGGCCGGCGCGCGGCGTGACGCGGGCGGGGCGGGTCCCGCGGCGAAGATGGCGCGGTGCGGGTGCGGGGCCGGGCTGTGCTGCTGCTGCTGCGGCGAGCGGGAGAGCCGCACCCCCGAGGAGCTGGTACGGCCGCGGCCCCCGCGCCTTCCCCCCCGGCCGGCCCCCGGACTCGTGTGTGCCGCCGGAGCCCCCCTCGCGCCGGGCCTCGGCCCCTCCCCGCCCGGCTGTGGGAGCGCCTGAGGGCGGGCGGTGAGGGGGCGGGAGCGGCGCTGTGGCGATGGGCCCGGTGCCTCGTCCCCAGTGCCTCACCCCGCGCTCGGTCCGGCCCCCCCCAGGGATGCTCGGTCCGGCACCTCAGCCCCTTCCCGCGGGTATCACTGCCAGGCCCGGCACCTCCCGCTGTCCCTGCCCCGCGCTCTTTGTGTGGGCCTCGCACCCCACCCTCGTGTGGGACGGTGCTGCTGGCGGGGGCTGTCTCTGACCCCAGCATGACAAGGTGCTGTCTCTGCAAGCGTCTTGTCCTGTGCTCCCCTGGAACCTGTTGCCGTGAAGGGAGGTGGGATGTGGGGTAGGACTTTGCTGTGGGGAGTTCCTGTTTAGAAGTGATGTGGGGCGTTCTGGCTCTAAGGTAAGACCCTGCAGAGTTGCCCTAAAGGAGGTGATAGTCCTGTAACCCACACTCTCAACTCACAGACAACAGTGGTGTAGGCCTTTTGTAGTTTTAGCTTTGCTGGCACTGTTCATGAGCACCTGTGTATGTGTCAGTTCCCCTCATGGTTGTGCTTTCCCACGTTTGTTTGTTTTGCAGACAATCCTGGGAGAAACTCACGAAGAGGAGGATGAGATCCTTCCCCGCAAAGACTATGAGGTGGGAAATTAACTGAGAGCAGCTTCTGAAATTAATGTGAAAAGAGCTGTTTGAGTCTGCGATGGGGCAGGTACTCAAAATGTATCATTAGGCTGCATTGGCATCAGTGCCAAGAGTTGCTGTGCTTGCAAAGAACTGCTCCTCATCTTTATACGTTTCTGGGGTAAAGACCTGTGAGCTTGAACAGCTGCTGCTCATGTCAGAACCTTGCTGAGAAAATTCATTTTCAGAGTCCACCGCATTGTTCCACTTCTTTAATGTGAGATTTTTCAGGCTCTAGTGCCCTTGTTTCCTTGTGACTGTAGGAAGCACCCATAGCTACTTGGTCCCAGTTGCCTTCCTGCTGTCTCTGTCGTCATGCTGCCTCACAGCAGATCTTCCCATGTATCAGACCCTGCTTGTTACTGGAGATTTCTGGCTGTATGGTGGCCCTGAATGGGTGTCACCAACCAAGCCTGTTACTGCTTGGCCTGAAAAGGTGAAGATGTGGGTAGAACTAGTGGTGTTTTTGTGAGTACAACAGGAAAACTGTATCGCTGTCAACTCCCTTCTGTGATAAACTGAGGAATTGATGCTGTTCAGCTGGGGAGGAGTTCCCATTTAATGTTCCTAGTGAGAGGGTAAATATCCAGTGTTAGGCCCTGCACTGTCAAAGTGGAGGCACTTCAAGAAGTAAAGTATAAATCTATACAGTGTGGCTTCTTTAATTTAAAGTTGTATTACTCAGTTGGGGCTTCTGTTTGATTCCCTGTCTCTCTCAGCCTGGGCAGTGAAATTCATCTGTTCTTTCACTCCCTGATTCTCAGGGTCTGACTCTGCTGGAAATATTTGTTTCCAGGAGTTTTTTTTCCTACTGTTGTTTCCAAGGTCTGCTATGCAGGTAGAAATGACTTCTGTAATCTTTAACAAGGCCTTCTAGCCATAATTTTTTTTGCACCATCTGTTGTGGTTGGTTCTCTTAAATTGACCTTTTGGCATTTCAGAGCTTGGATTATGATCGCTGTATCAATGACCCATACTTGGAAGTTTTGGAGTGCATGGACAACAAGGTAGGACCTTGTTCTTTCTTTTTCCTAAGTTTGAGAGCTAAAACTGTGGAAATTGCCGAGGGAACCTGTGAATGCCTTATCACTGGAAGTGTTCAAGGCCTTGTTGGATGTGGCTCTGAGCAACCTGGTCTAGTGGAATGAGATGAGCTTTAAGGTCCCTTCCAACCCAAACCATCGTGTGATTATAAAAATGCTCCACTGCAGGAAGTTCTGGGGGATTTTTCTTCTTTATGAAAGAAGTTATATGTGTTCTCTTGTGTTCCCTGCAAAAAGAATAAAGGTCTGTGTGGAGATTATAGGTCAGCATCTGTTCTGATCCTCCCAGGTTTGAAGTGAGTGAGATGTTCAGCGGTTTCAGTTCCCTATTTTCAGTTTGCTGTTGTCATCATCTTCTGCTGATTTATCCCTCTGGCTTTACTTGAGCTGTGGAGCCCCAAAACACCCTTTTCCAATCCCTGTTTTTGTGTTGCTCTGACTTGACTTTTGTTTCTTTCCTGTTTTTTATCCTCTTCCTAAACAGAAAGCCCAGAGATACGAAGCAGTGAAGTGGGTGCTGGTTTTTGCTATTGGAGTCTGCACTGGACTGGTAAGGGTCATGCTGTTTGGGGAATGAGGAAAATTCAGGAGACTAAGCAGGAATAATGTAGAAGTCAACGGCCAAGGAGTAAAGAGGAGGAAACATTCTCTTTCGTGAAGTGGAAAGCTTAGAAGCTGGAGTTGTCCTTTGGGAATGTTGTTGCTAGTTGATTTTCAAAGAGGCCTTTTCTCTTTTAGAACTTGCTGTGCTTTCTTGGTAAAGTATTCTGTCAAATCCTTTAGTTCTGCATACAGGAAAACTTGTCCAAAGTGAGCACTTAATAAAAAAGGATGCAAATTTATAGCTGAGCTGTGTTGTGTATGTTTGGCAGTATTAGTGTCACTGCATGTGCTTTAAAATTAGCTGACTGTGTGCCTCAGTTAAACACCAGCTTTCTTCTGTGCCCTGAAGTATGCTGAGGGTGTTAAAAGTGCTCTGAAACACAGCTCTTCAGGAATAATTCTAGGCTGGATTTATCCCAGTGGGAAAGAGAGATGGAGAAAATCTGACCTTTCAAAGTTACTTCACTCTGACTGATGATTCCTTTGGCTTCTTCATCCTCTGTCTTCCCATGTGTGCACACTAAAGGGTGGTCTTTGTTATTGCATGTAGTAATTCCTGATGGCAATCCTGCCTTCTGTTCCCAGGTGGGCCTGTTCGTGGATTTCTTCGTGCGGCTCTTCACGCAGCTCAAGTTCCGGGTGGTGCAAAGCTGTATCTTTTCCCTCATGCGTGAGGCCCTGGTAGAATCAAGCGACCTTTTCTTTCCTGCTCCCCTGTCTTGCTCAGAACAGCTGACTCTCACACTTCTGCCATCGGTCATGTTGTTCATGATTAAGCAAGTTTTCAACTTGCTTATGTAATTCAGCCCTTGAAACTAAGGAATGTTTCCAGTGCCGGGTACGTAAGCAGAGGCTGAAAGAATAAGTGGTTTCCCTTCCTCATAACTCAGTTTTGAGCTCTGAAAAGGAAGCCTGCCTTCCTGAAGGGTTGTGTCAGCTGGATTAGGGAGCACAGGCCTGGCTCCTGATGCTGGTGGGACGCCCAGACGTGATCCAGTGATTGTGTGTTGGTGTGGGGAATGTTGCTGTTTTCCTTGACTGTCCCTGCAGCGGTGGAGGAATGCTCCGAGAAAGGCTGCCTTGCACTGTCCTTGCTGGAGCTGCTGGGGTTCAACCTGACCTTTGTTTTCCTTGCCAGTCTTCTGGTCCTGATCCAAGTAAGACTTCACTCGTTGCTGCTCCTCACACAGGGCCTGGGTATGAAATATCCTTGGGAGAAGCACTTTCTGCCCCAAGACATCAAACTGACTTTACAGTGCTCCTTGATTTAGCTAAGCAGGGTCTCTTGGTCCCTTGCTCTCTGATAACATGTTGTTGATCAGGTATGGAATCAGTGCACCACAGTGTCAGTGTTTCTTTCCTGCAGCCTGTAGCAGCTGGATCAGGAATTCCCGAAATTAAGTGCTACCTCAACGGGGTGAAGGTGCCGGGGGTGGTGCGTCTGCGGACAGTGGTGTGCAAAGCCATGGGAGTGCTCTTCAGTGTGGCTGGAGGTAAGGAGGGCACACAGGGCTTATC